ACTGGCTGAACCACAATCCAGCTGACAGTGACTTCCAGGTGAGCCTTGCCCCCAACCCAAGACATGAGACAGAGCAGGGAAAGGGCGAGGAACATATCTGAAGGCCAACGGATTCTGTCATTTTATGAGTGCACAAATAATAAAGTTACACAGTGTATAAACCCTCTTCCAACAAAATCCACATGTCTTTTTTTTTTTTCCTTAAACAGGGGAGACCAGAGTATAAATCTGAAGATCTCCTGATACAGAAGAAGATAACAAAGTTTGATACCATTCTAACTAAAATTCAACTTGTAATAATTGACAGCTTTTCTGGCATTTTATTGTTTTACATCAAGTTGCTAATTGATGCAACACACCTTATAAAGGTTAACTTGCAAAAGGTCATCCTGAAAACGAAGTAAGTTTTTTTTTTTCTTCTTTCAGGAATATTCATAGCAGCTTTATTTGTAATAGCCCAAAACTGGAAACAGTCAATCAGAATGTCCATAGACAGGTGAATGGACTAACATGTGAAAATATGGCCATACGAAGGAATGCAACTCAGTGGTAAAAGTGTATGAGCTATTGATGAACACACAGCACAGCTAAATCTCAAGATAATTATGCTGCCTGGGCACCTGGGTGGCTCAGTCGGTTAAGCATCTGCCTTCAGCTCAGGGCATGATCCCAGGGTCCTGGGATCAAGCCCCGTATCGGGCTCCCTGCTCAGTGGTGAGTCTGCTTCTCCCTATCCCTCTGCCCCCCCTCTCCCACTCATGCTCTTTCTCAAATAAATAAATAAAATCTTTAAAATATATATATATATAATTTTTTTAAAAAAGGTAATTATGCCGCCTGAAAGAAGTCAGACCAAAGCAAGAGTACATACATACTGTATGATTCTATTTATATAAATCCTGGAAAATGCAAGCTAATCTATAATGACCAAAGCAGATTTTCGTGGTCATCTGGAACCAAGTGGAGGGTGAAGAGGGATGAGAGGGAGGGAATCCCAAAGGGCATGAAGAAGTTTTTGAGGGTGATGCACATGTTTGTTATCTTTTTTTTTCCCCCTCACAAACATTCTCTTTAATAGATAAGCTTAACCTTGGTGGCAAATTTTAATGGAGTAGAAAGCCTTCACTATGTATCATCTATATTTAAAGTCTATTTCTCTTTCTGAAGAGAGAAGTTCTGAGACTAATGTGCACCGAAAATGAGAAATTTAAGAAATTGGAAAAACTGCTAGTTTATTCAAGTTGTTTCACCTGGTGGTTACAACTTGTTAAGTTAGTTATCTATTGGTTTGAGAGTGACTGATGGTGATAAAAATTATCCAAAATAATGAGTCACAAGCTATTTAGGCTTTAAAAGAATACCATACTCCTAAAAATACCAGTTTTTATCTTTTAGGAACCAGTCAAATGTAAATACATATTCTACATTATATGTTGGTCTAGCTTATTTTTCATAATAGTTTTTTTTTTTTTAAGAGAGCATGATCAGGAGGGGCAAAGGGTGAGGGAGAGAGAATCTCAAGCAGACTCCGTGCTGAGTGCGGAGCCCAACACAGGGCTGGGCCCAGAATCCTGAGATCATGACCAGAGCCAAGACCAAGAGTCTGATGCTTACCGACTGTACCACCCAGGTGCCCCTCTCATGATAGTTTTTGAAAACTATCACCATAACAGGGTTTATTTCACAAAGGTACTTATGTGGTGAAGCAGAGCTATCAGGCACCCATAAATAAGACATCTGTCACTAGTACCTGTTCACATACCTCCTCTCTGTCACCCTATCTGATCACCACCCTCAAGAAAATTCTCATTTCCATAACCATCAATTCCCAAACTATCAAGTCTATCAAACTTTAGTGTTCTTCCTACCCCATCCATCACTCCCTACCCCACCACACACACACACACACACACACACACTTCATTAAAAATTGGTATAGGCATTAAGAAACCTTAAAGACTGTAAAATCTATCATTCTAATATCAAGTAGCTCTTTAAAACTTTAGTAAGCATAAGCTCACATGGAGGGCTTGTTATTTAATGCAGATTTTCATGCCTACTCTCAGAACTTTTAAGTTCATAGTTCTAGGTGAGGAATCAGCATTTTTATCTTTCATCTTTGGCATTATAATTATGTGTTGTGATGTGGACCTCCTTGGGTTCATTTTGTTGGAATTCTCTGTGCATCCTGAACCTGGATGTCTATTTCCTACCCCAGGTTATTTCTTCAAATAAGTTTTCTGCCCCCTTCTCTCTCCCTTCTCCTTCTGGGACCCCTATAATGTGAGTATTTATTTGCCTGATGTTGCCCAAGATATCCCTTAACCTAGTCTCATCTCTTTTCATTCTTTTTTCTTTTTGTTCTTCAGCTTGGATGCTTTCCATCACCCTGTCTTCCAAGTTGCTGATCCATTCCTCTGCATTTTCTGATCTACTGTTAATTCCCTCTAGTGTGTCTTTCATTCCAGTTATTGTGTTCTTCAGCTCTGATGCATTCTTTTTTATATTTTCTATCTCTTCGTGAAGTTCTCACTAAGCTCTTCCACTCCTCTCCAGTCTCGTGAGCATCTTTATGACTTTTACTTTGAACTCTTTATCAGGTAGATTGTTTATCTCCATTTCATTTAGTTCTTTTTCTGAGGTTTTGTCTTATTTTTTCATTTGGAGCATATTCCTCTGTCTCCTCATTTTGCTTGACTTTCTGTGTTTGTTTTTATGAAGCACGTGGAACACCTACTTCTCCTAAACTTAACGGAATTATCTTGTGTAGGGTCATCCTCTGTTTACTTTTTTTTTTTTAAGATTTTATTTATTTATTAGACAGAGAGAGACACAGCAAGAAAGGGAACACAAGCAGGGGGAGTGGGAGAGGGAGAAGCAGGCTTCCCGCCGAGCAGGGAGCCCGATGTGGGGCTCGATCCCAGGACCCTGGGATCATGACCTAAGCCAAAGGCAGACGCTTAACTGACTGAGCCACCCAGGCGCCGGGTCACCTCTGTTTAGACTTTAAGTGCCTGGTGACTTTAAAGGGCTGGCTAGAGCTGTGGCTGGTGTGGGCTGGGGGTCTCAGGGCACTCTGTGCTGAGGCTGCCCTGGTGGGGTGGCCAGAGCTGACATAGGTGTGGGCCCTGGTAGTCCCAGGGCTCTGGGCACAGAGGGCACACTGGCAGGACAGCTACAGCTAAAGTGGGCACAGGCTGGGGCTGTTCTGGGGCTCTCTGCACTGTGGACACACTGGCAGGACAGCTGCAGCTGAAGTGGGTGCAAGCTGGAGTGTCCCAG